TATGTTGAAAGATCGCTGGAGCATTGGTAAGACCAAAGGGCATGACATTATACTCAAAATGGCCATACCTTGTACGGAACGCTGTCTTCCACTCATCTCCTTCTTTGATTTGTATGAGGTTTTAAGCTCCCCTTAGATCAATTTTTGTAAAGATCTTTGCACGTCCAAGTTGTTCTAAGAGACCAGAAATCAAAGGTAATGGGTAACGATTCTTCTTTGTTATCTTGTTGAGGCCTCGATAGTCTACGCTCATCCGCAACGAGCCACCTTTCTTCTTCACAAATAAGATGGGTGCTCCAATTGACGATATTGAATGACGGATGAAGTTCTTGGCTAGATTCTTGTCAATGTACTTTTGCAACTCCGCCAACTCCGTCTGCGATAGATTATAGATTGGGCCAAAAGGTGGTTGTGCTCCTTCTTGCAAGTCTATGGCGCAATCACATGGTCGGTGTTCCAGTAGCATGTCGGTATTCTTCTTTTGAAACACGTCTTTAAAATCCTTATATTGCTTAGGTATACTTGCTATCGAGATCTTCTCTCCGATAGTTGGAGCCGCATAAATGACAAACGGTGTGCCTTCCTTGGACGATCTTATAAATGCTCTTGCTCCAATGAATAAGGATTTCTCTATTCGGGGTTTTTTACTAGGCTTGCTCTTGGGTGGTTTTGTGGAAAAGGTCATCTTCTGCAACCTCCAATCTATAGATGGGTTATGCTTTTCCAACCAGGAAAGACCAAGAATAACAAGATTTGATGGGGTTCTAATAATATTGAAAATAATATGACTACTATGGCCCTTAAACGTCACTTCTATAGGTTTTGATTCATGGGTGACACTACCAGACAATAAAGGTCGCCCATCTATGACCTCAACATGAACAGGTTTGGATTTTTGTACTAAAGGGATCTTATGATGCTTCGCAAATTCTTCGTCTAAGAAACAAGCAAATGCTCCTGAATCTAATAATGCTAAGATTCTCAGTTTTTGAGGGCCAATAAGCAAAGGGATTGTAAAGCAAAGGGCAGGTTGAGCGGAAAGAAAAGAACCTGGTTGTTGTTGCGATATTTCACTGTCCAGGCGCACAGTTCTTATTGTGGCTGGGCATCCTCGTTTTCCTGAACAAATGCGCCCCTAGTCTTGACAATACGTCGATTTTGCTTCTTGGGGCAGTTTCCAACTTTATGGCCTTCTTTACTGCAATACAAGCATAGACCTTCCTCCATACGCCGCTTTTTTTCTTCTAGAGTAAGGGATTTGACACGTACCGCATCAATTTATATGTCTTCTACATCTAAATGTGAATTCACACTGCTTGCCGACATAGTTGGGACGTGGCAAACCGTATGTTGTCTTGAACGTTGGTCTTGGCGGCGTTAGAATAGGCGGTTATCGCACTTCACAGCTTAGCTAATAGCTTTGTTGAGCGTTTGCGGATCAGGAAGAGTTAACAGCAAATCCTTCACATTGTCCCTTAAATCCCAATAGAATTGACTCATCAATGCTTCTTCATCTCAATTGATGTCGCATGCTAATTGCCTGAAGTTCGATGCATAGATTGATGAAGAACGCATCCCTTGTTGTAGTGAACGGATCTTTGTTGTAGCCCATCGAACCTTGTCATGTTCACCAAATGCTTTCGCAAACGCCTCCAAAAAGATTTCAAAGTTGTTTAATATGGATGATCGTTTCTCAAACAAAAGAGCAAACCATGATAGAGCTTGCCCTGTAAGTAAGGTTCCAACAAGCCCAATACGTGACTCCTCCGTTGGATAGCGTTCGGGCTGTAAAATTGTTATCAACTTGATTTGGTTGACGAATCCTTGAAACTTGGAACGCGTACCATCGAACTTGTCTGGAAGGCTAACTCGAGGCTCCTTATGTTGTAGAACCAGCGGTGCTTGTCAAACATGAGGCAAAGTTGCTTCTCCAAGTGCAAAATTTTGAGGCTGGTGCAACCTACATTGTGCCATCCCAGATGCTCCATTATTATGAAGCCTTGCCACGACTCCTTCAATCTCTGTAATTCTTTGCGATAACGTAGCGAGGGCATTCATGATAGCATCCAACTTGGACTCCGAACTTTCCGTCATACTAATGTCTTGGCCTCCGACCATTCTAAGAGAAGGACATAAATGACTGTACAAGAAGACAATATTGGTTCAGAGGAGGGTATTCCGCAACCTCTAAAATGCCTTAAGAGCTTCAAGAAAAGGGGTAATCCACTCTCTCTAAGAAGAATAAGACTCCAATATTGTAACAAAAGAAGTATCAGTTTAGAGGAGGGTAATCCGCAACCTCTAAAATGCTAGTACACTTCCAAGCAGAGGGGTAATCTACACTCTAACGAGGAAGAAACTAGCTCTGATATCTGAGGTGAGTGAAGTCTCAACAAACTGTCACGGACACAAAAATACAGACTCGAGATCTAACAAGAAGTTCAAGAAGAACTAGCAAGAACTAGATTAATCCGATGAATACAAGAACAACACCAGAGAGATGAGCTAGAGCTCCAAGAGATGTATTGTCGAGACTAAAGAACTCTTCAGCCTCGATTCCAATATATACTCCTATTTAGGAAGCTTCTCAAGTGACTTCTACCAACTAGGAAGCTTCTAGAAGGTTTGAGAGACTTGCTTGTAGAAGATTCTAGAAACTTGTCTCTAGAAGGTTCTAAGGACTATGTCCCTAATATCTTCTATCAATTAGGAAGCTTCTAGAAGATTCCAGAGACTTGCTTCCAGAAGGTTCTAGAAACTTATCTCTAGAAGGTTCTAAGGACTATGTCCCTAACACTCTATCTTATTTGGTATCATCAAATTAATTATGTGAAATAACATGTGGACTTAAATATTATACCTAGAAATCTAAACTTCACTATCACTTCTATTTCTTGGACTATCACATTGTGTATCACTTGAGCCGTCATCAATAGGATCTTCTTCTTGATTAAAGAAGCCACTATCTTCATATGTACTTGATAATAAATCCAACAAATATGGATATATTTTTTTTTAACAATCCATCTTATAATCTACATGTATACATATGAAACCATAATTATTAAATTTACACCAATTGCAAGATAAATTAAAAATATACCATTTTATTAAAAAAATCTTAGTTTTTAAGGATAATTTCAATGTGGCATGTATTAAGAACTTCCAAATTTGATAATTAATCTTATTTTTATCATTTAACAAACTACTTTGTTATTTATTCTTAAATAGTATCTTTATTGGTAATACAAAATAAAAATAAAATTTACATTTCTAATCTTACTACACTGGAGTACATCCCAACATATAGTAAAATATTCTATTGATTGATCTTAAATGTTGAGTCTACAATCCATGACAAGTTTGACATAATATCTTTTGATCTTTTAAATATGTCTTTTATTTGCATTACCAATACAAATGGTTATTTCTTTGCTATTGGATTCTTTAGATCATAAGTTTAGTAATTTTTTTTATTTTTTTATTTTCTATCTATTTAGGAACCATTTTTCTTATCTTTTCATAGTTTTCTTCATTTCAACTTTCTATAAAAAGGTAAGAAAAATTTATAATAGATTTGATGCTTCTTTTATATCTAAAAAGAAACAGATTATTTGATGCTTATGCAATAGAATTTTTTGTTTTAAAATATCTTTGAATCTTCTAAAATAAACAAAGAAAAATTTGATGTTATTAAGATTATCTAACATCTCAACTTAATTATTAATTGTACTTTGATGAACATGTAAAAAAAATAGTACTCCTTTGATCTATGATCATGGCTATTATAACTTGCATTGACATAAACTTTAATATCTTCTCCTTCATCTTTAAAATATCTAATTTTTAAAAAGTACTTATATCCCTTATGTCTTTTAGAAGATCATTGTTTATGCTTACCAATATTGCTGACTAAATCAAAAGCCTAGTCGCAAATGTTTTGTCTTCAATAGCATACAAAGACTATCAACTTTAAAGTATAAAGTAATTTTTGGTGGCGTTGATGGATTAACTTTAATAACAATACATGTTGGGCCTTTAACTTATTTATAAATTCTTTTTCTTCAATACAAGGAATTGTGTGATGTTGGATGTATAGTCAAAATTTATAACTTTATAGACAAATCACTCCTTCAAATTTAAGTTTTTCAAACTCATAGTTAGTACAAGTCTTTATGGCTTTAGTGATGTAAGTCCTCAAAGTCCTATATTTGTTTCTTTCTACCATTCATTTCAAATTATAAAGGCTTGAAAGCATTTTTGCCTATATAAGATAAAGCCCTCCTCTCCAATGTTCATTCCAAACTATTGATGCATATTTGTCAATGTATAGAATAATAAATTCCTAATATAACTTATGTAGGCTTTTAATTATATGATTGAAACTGCAATCATCAAAAACAGAGATAAAAGTAGAAAAGAGGTCAATTTAATTTTCTTTATTTAATTATTTAAGAATCAATATTCAATATTTAAAATTTAGTTTTTTTATTTGTTATTTTTGTGAATTTATTTCCTTTTCTTTTATTCATAATAATTAGAAAATTTTAAAGTTTTACAAAATCTATGTAGAAAGAGCGTATATAAAACATGATTAAAAATGTAATTTTTTTCTATGTGATTAAAAACATTTAAACTTTGCAAAATCATCTTTATATATATATCTATATATATATATATATATGTTTTCAAAAACAAATTGCTATGTAAACTAAATTCACATTAAATAATACATACTTCCAAACTTCATGTTTCTCTTTAAGCTCTCAACTCCTCCTCCATTACCCATTCAACACACCCTCAACCGCGAAAAGTGAAAGTATATCTTTGAAGGAATGCATGTCGCTAGGAACCTAATCCACATGACGATTATCATATTGATACAGAAACTGCGGCGATTCGAACCCAAGATCAATCAATAGAGTCTGCAGGAGCGATCAGCAGTCGGGGACCAGAGGAGAGGGAAACCTAATGTTATGGGTTGCGGGGGGGGGGGGGGGTCAGTTACTGAAGCAGCGACGCGCCTTACAGTGTTGGATCCGCGCTATCGCCGAAGTTTTTCTGGCCTCGGTGAAGTGCGGGTGACCACCGGGACCAGTCGTGAGGTGTTGGATCTCTCGATTTGGTGCTGTGTGTGAGGAGATCGAATCGGTTCCGGGATTTGGAGCTGTACCCAGCAGTCGGTTTTGCTTCAGTGTATCTGCAACGGAACGGGAGTGCTGCTGCTGCCTGGGAGGCGATCGATCTGTGTCTTGGGAGGAGGAGGGGGAGGAGGAGGAGTCAATCGGATACCTATTTGTGATATTTGTGGTGAATTTGGATAATCTGACCGAAATTCACTTGATCGATGTTGTGGAGTTGTCTCTTTTGAACGCAAGGATTCATGTGGTTGAGCTGTCGGTAGCGCATCGGTGAGCCTTGGGCCGAGTGTAGGGTCGGGATGTAGCTGCTTCGTTGTTGTTTGCAGGTTGAAATTGCTAATGGAGCAGAGAGAATGAGAAATTGTTGTGGGTTGAGCTTGGTTTTGTGGATATTTGATGTTTTTGTGGAAGTGTTAGGAGATTCACTCGACGTTGCCCGTGGCAAGAGAACCAACTGCCTTGAGCGACATAGCTTGCTTCTATTATCTGTCTTGATGTATTTGTTTCATGCCGTAATTATATTTCAGGTTTTTTGATGCTTCTGCCTTTGTCCTTTCTGAATTTCGCTTTGTTCAGGTACCAGAGGTAAGAAATCACGTCAGTGGAAGTGTGCCAAGAGGGGTGACTTAAGAATTGAAGTGCCAGAGCCTCTTCGAAGATGAATATTTTTAAGAAGAAGCCGGACCCAAAAGGTTTGTAGATTGTAGACACTAGTCCTTTTTTGTGTTCCTTTTGATTCCAAACTTGCAACTACAACGGAGGAAGAATATGAGCATCAAAAAAAGCACAGGCATCTATATATATTTATTTACACACACCCACACACGTTATTTCCTTCTTCTGTTTTCGGTTTGTCATGCCCAGTAGTAACTAGTGTAGAGGATAACTGTAGCGATGTACACAGGGTTTTGTAAGTTTTGGCATTATTAACATGTTGCCTACATCTTTAGCGAGCTCGACAAGTTCACATTATTCAAATTTGGGATTAAATATCTTGGGAGAGGTTTCAATCAGTTTCTTTGCTTCTTATAAGTGCCATTTAATGCAATCAGCAACATTTGCACCTTGTATCAGTTGCAAAGTCATAATTTTGTACTCATTTGTCTGGTCCTTCCAGTCTAGGTTACAATCTTTTGAGAGATCGTATGAATGTCTACAATGAGTGATGCAAGCACTTCCTGGGTAGGGGTGGAATTGTCGAGCATGTGACATTTGTCTTGATATATTTACTTCACGCTGATTGTTGCCAACAGAGGTGCTCCGAGCCAGTAAACGTGAGATGTCCGTTGCCACGAGAGGTATATTGTCACATTTAATTGTTTTCAGTGTGTCCATTATACAAGCTGTGCCCTACTTATACAAGTGTATCATGCAGAGTTTGAATGATTGAAGATGGCTCGTCTTAGGATTGCTCCAACCGGATTCTGTACTTGAACTGTCTAGTTTAGCATAATGCAGGATCCCTTGTACTTGTTTTTTCTCCGTGGAACTCGCTTCGCCGTTTTGTCATGACTTGTCGTTCCTGTTTTTTTCAGTTCAGTCTTCTGCTTGGTGTTCTTCTTTAAGTCTAGTTCTTCTGGTGAACGACGACTTTCTGTTTTTCATAATTTGGGTGTGGCTGACTATTTTAAGACCTGACTGCATTGTTCGGGAATCGTTTGATTGATCATTAGGTTTTGACCGAGAGATTGGTGCTTTGCAGATTGAGGTATGGAACATCCTCACTTTGAGAAGTTTGTGAAGTAGACAGCCTTCATTTATGCTGGTATAACATGTGTTTTATAGACTGTTTCATGTTGGGGCTTTTGATTCGTCAAAGTTTTCGTTTTGCAACACTGAAGTCACTTCCTAGGAGTAACACAGGATTTTTCCGGATGCAGGAAAAGAAGCTAGTAGCTGAGATAAAAAAGACTGCAAAAACTGGAAATGATGTGAGTAAATTTTTGCCCAAGTGTAGTTAATGCTGACATCCGTTTGCATTGTGTTCCTGCAAGGGTTGTGAGATGTTGAGCTCAATCAAAACCGTTCTAAGCACTACAAATTTTAAACCAAATATCGGCTTCTGCAGTGCTTCTGAAAATTTAAGAAATTTTATGTCAGGAAGCACGTTTTTTCTTAGAATGTCATTGTAGGCATGGAGTGATTAGTTTGCTGTGGTTGCTTATTTTAGGGACGATCAAATTTCTTGGTGCTAGGATGTGAACATTTCACAGAAAGTGAGAAAAAAACTTGTTTCCTGGGTCTGGTGATGGTTTGGTATACAATTGTGTGTTTGTTTTTATAACGAGCCTGGCGTTCCCCTCCCATGCTGGTTCATGCAGGCAGCAACGAAGATTTTGGCTCGCCAATTAATTCGGCTGAGGCAGCAGATAGCTAAGCTGCAAGGCAGCAAGGCGCAACTGCGTGGTGTTGCCACTCATACACAGGTTGGACTGAGGGTTGTTTGTTACACGATGTTTATTACTTTTCTTGTTGTTTCTATGCCTGCTTACTTGAGGATCACGAATACCTTCGCATGAATTCAGTGGTCCTAAGCATGCATTTTCTTGTTGAAACTATCAGGCTATGCATGCAAATACGGCCGTGGCAGGTGCCATGAAGGGGGCGACCAAGGCTATGGCCAGTATGAACAAGGTAAAACAAACATTATTTCTCATATGTAGTATCATATGTTGCAGTGCGTTGAAGATATTTTTGCTGGATCTATACTTGTATTGTGTATCACAGCCGGAACCTAGTATCAACTATGACATTTGATTTCCAATCCAGCCCGTATGACTTGATTTGTGCGTTTTCATAACGATCTCACATTGTGGTTTCCATTGCACAGCAAATGGACCCTGCGAAGCAAGCTAAAATCATGCAGGAGTTTCAGCGGCAGTCAGCTCAAATGGATATGACGGTGAGTTTCGTGCTGGATTTTGCGACAATATCAATTTGTCGGATTAATTCAACAAAAAGATATATCATGAGTCTTCTTTACTCAATGTCCTCTAAACCTAAACTTGTTTTGGTGCTACGTACATGTATTTTTATGGGTTGGTATCTTTGAATAAAAATAGTCACTTAATGGAGAGACTCATTCATCTCATCATGTGACAGACGGAAATGATGTCGGATTCAATCGACGATGCTTTGGATGATGATGAAGCTGAGGAAGAGACTGAGGAGCTTACCAACCAGGTATACTTATGCTGAATTTCTGGTGAATCACTTCTGTAATTTTGTAAATCTTTGTTGGACCTAGCTGATTTTCTTGAAAATGCGGAATTTTTTTGATTGTTCTAACGTTTATGTTTACTTTTTCTTAATCCAGATCTTGGATGAAATCGGTGTTGACATCTCAGCCCAGGTATGCACTTGAAATGATGTGCTTTTTCTTCACTTTTTTTAGTGAACTTTTGTTTCTTGTGATTTGAAAGGAATGAAAATATGTGTTATCCTCTCAAACCTGACATTTGGTCACATTTTGCAAATGATTGTTAAGGTGTCGTTGCATTTGTAAAAGCGTCATTTGTTTCGCGGCTGTTCATATCTCTGGGAATCATTTTTGATCAAACTTGAGTTGTATTTCGAACTTTTTCTGTAGATGTCCGCTGCACCGAAGGGAGGACTTGCAAGCAAATCAGGAACTAAAGCGGCCAGCAGGTATGTGTAGCCCTGTATACTTTTTTGTCGTTTGTGGGTGCTGATTGTTGCCAGCCAACCACGATACTTACACCAGTATTTTACTTCCCACCTTACATTCATATCAATGTACACTACTTTCAATCTAACCAACATGTGGCATTCATATGCTAAAATGCAGCTCGAATATTGATGATCTGGAGTCGAGGTTAGCTGCTTTACGAAGTGGCTGAGGAGCAAATGTACCTCCAGTTTTGTGTGTATAACTGAAGCTGGTGCTGATAATTGTGCTCCATTTTGGGCAGTTGTATAAATTATCCAGCACATATGCAGATTGATTCTTGGGCCTCCTTTTGCTGCCTGAGTGTTGCAATTCAATTGCTAACTGTCTCTGTCCAACTCTTTCGTGGATCTGATCCTGCCCAAGCTGTGGTGTGCTGTGTTGGAGCAAAGGTTGCTGGTGTGCTGATTGGAGCTCTCAAACGGGTGTGGTTCTTGTAATATGATATTAGCAACTAAAACAGGTAATGAAGATGTATCAACCAAGTCGATCTGACTTCAAACATCAAGGTCTCTTTGGACTCGATCAACATAGGTCTTATTTAATTTTTATTAAATTTGTGTTTCACACAAAATTTATTTTATTTAGCTATTTTAATATTTTGTGTCTGTTTATTTATAATATATATATTTTTTAAGAGAATTGCTAGATGGACACTTCTTTTTAATTTGTGAACACCCCCCCCCTTCATGCCACATACCTTAACATATACATAATAAAATTCTTATTTATACTAAAAAAATTATAAAAAATTTATTTCTTGAATGTTTTTACTTTTGAAAAATAAGTAATTTTGTAATTCAACTTAAGTTGTTTTAATTTTCGTTTTCTTTTAACTACATCATATAAATATGTTTAACTTGTTAAAGAATCAAAATCTAGCAAAATGTATTTTTTATAAAATTTTAAAATTAATCATTACTTTTGGCATCAAAAAAAATAGTTGATTCAGTATTCAAGGACCAAATGAGTTAATCTATAAGATAGAATATTCTTATTAATAAAATTTTATTACTACTTATTGTAAAAAATAACTTAAGTATTATACAAAGAAACGAAGAAGTGTTTTCATTGGCCATGAAGAGAGTACAAAGAATGCAAGACATCAAGAAACAAATGAATTCTAAGAATGTAACAAATATAAGAGTAGAGAAACACAATGTGGTTGGAATCCTAAATATCTCTTTTGCATATTAGACACTCAAACATTTATCATAGAGTACAATCAATTCTTTGATTGAAAACTATTTGTGGGCATTTAATTGTCAATTTTTATCTTTTCAGAATCATTTGTTGCTATCTTGTATATGAACATCTTTGAATTAGAATAAAATTCACTACCACTTTGACATCTATTCCAACCATCATGCACATCCATACTATGATAGCACTATCTTGGTGATGATAATTACAAATATTTTTCTTTAATTCACATATTTTACCTTAAATTCTAAACCTTCTTATTCCATCATCATGATTTCAATCAATTCTATGATACATAGAGATGGAAGGATGGGAGGAGAAAAAGTGAGCAATGCACAAAGAACATTCTTTCTTTATTTTTTTTCAAACTTTTGGACCAATGCATTGATTTTGTTAAATTTTCCTATTTTGGAAATTTATCATTTTGGTTTTGTTTTCACATGCATATAGAGTAGAATAATAGAAATTATTTGAAGCATTTTTGAATGGATAATAAATGCCAAGAATTTTTAGTCAATGTATTGTAAGTGGATTTTGGAGATTTAGAGTTATGTATTAGGTGTTGGTAGGAATTGATCACAATTTAAACTATGATGTGGTTTTGAATTGATAATTTTTTTATAAGTAGAGAAGCACACAATAGCCTTGATGTAGCCTACTCTTAATCAAGCAACACATACTTTCATGGATCCCAAATATATATATAGTAATTGATTTTTTTCTTTGATTTACAATCTATCAATGCAAAGAGTGAAACTAATGATAGTAGAATTTAACCTTCTCTTCATTGCCTTATATGTTTATATTAGAAGTGCATATTGGATTTTTTTTTTTAAAAAAAAACTCTTCTTCTTTCTAAACTATTGTCTCAAAACTTATTCTATCACCATCTTACACCATTCAATACTTTTAGACATTGGAACTCAATTTAAAGTAGATGATAAGCAAAGAAATCCAAGCATAGAAACAACACTATATTTTAGTATAAATTAGCTAGCCTTTTTTTGCATACTTAGTACTTTACTAGAGCTTGAGAATTTGCAAACCTTTTATAGATACACAACATATGTTCTCACTTGTGTATTTGTAGTATCTTTGCCCTCAATGTAAGTAGTTATTAGTTGAAAATAATTTTTCAAAAAGCATTACATGATTATATTCATCTTGAAATAAAATCTATATTTCATTTATTATCACTGTTACTATTAAAAGATATTATCCAATAATTAAAAAAAACAAGTTTTTACATTTAATTCTATTATGAATTTAGGGCATGAAAAAGAAAAGCAAACTATTTAGAATAAAATTAGTAGATTTTTTTTTAAAAGAAAGACATAACAAAGAATGATGGACCAATTAATTGCAATCATAGAAACCTTTTCAAAAGCAATCTCAAGGCTATAGATAATCAAGCTATTTGACAAAAAAGACAAAGAGCTCATGAACATGTTGAGCAACATATGCATATAGATGAAGAACAAGGGAAGAGAGGATTATAAGTTTTAAATGAAGAAATAAATAATTTGAATAGTGTTGCCTCTATATGCAATCATTGTACAATTGGACAACTAAGATAGAAGACACGTGAATATACTAAAGAAAAAATGAATAAGAAGTAGAAGAACATGATATTATAATTAATCAAAATAATAGTAATGATAAAAACATTATTCAACCTATGAATCTTCAAAAAAATTGACAACAAAGGCAAAAGGAACAAAAAAAAACAACCTTATGTGTACAACATCAAGAAGAAGCAAAAGAATCTAATAGAGTTGAAGAAATTTGTGAACAAGTTGAACAATTTGCTTTCAAATATTAAAATGAAAGAGAAGAATTCAATGGTTGTAATAAAATTGGAAATATGAATGTTTAATGCTCATATAGCAATACACTCTATTGAATGGATGAACAAATCATACCATTATCAAAAAAAATCTGTGATTTGGTACATGTTGTCTTAATAAAAAAGTTGAGCTTTTCCTTATTAAAGATTCCATGTTGTTAATTAGATAGCTATTTAATGGAAAAAATGGAAAAAAAATAAAAATAAAAATAAAAAATAATTTAGAAGACTATTTGATAATATAATATAATACATGTATTTAAATTTCTTAGTATAAAAGTTGATATAACTTTCTTGCATGGATATGATTTGTGTAGCTTTTACATACTTAGAAAACTTTGGTATCAAATAGGTAGTTTTTTATTAGAATAAGATATTAAAAAAAATCTAATACAACTTTACATTTATAATCTCAACATTGTACATGAAGCAAGGATGGCACACAATCTCAATTTGTCAACTTAGATAATGTAGGAGCTTTCAAACATCTAAGAAAGCATCACGTATTTTTGCCATTTTATCAACAAGTCCATGAAATATCATCTAAAGTAAGAGAAAGAAGAGAGAGTGGTAATGATATATATATGTATATCTTTACTTTACTAAAGATCTTGACAAAAGACATTACAATCTTTCAACTTCTAATAAGATTGGTATTATTTCTAAAAATAGAAAAAAACTAAAAAAATAAAAGATATAGTTGTTTAACACAAAAAAATCCATTGCAATAAATTCATAAATAAAAGCTTGTATATTTGCCACTCTATAATATTGTTGTTGTTATTGTTGTTGTTGTTGTTGTTGTTATTTTTTTTATTTTTTTTTTATTTTTTTTATTTTTTTTTATAGAGAACAAAAATAGCATGACCAAATGAAACATTAAGATATAAATGCCAATGAAGATGGAAGTATAAATATGCAACTTGCACATATTATTTAAATGGTGTTTTATTTGTATTGATTTTTTTTTTAATATTACGAGTATTTAACCATCTTACAATATATGAAGTTGCCACAAGAATTTATTGTGGATGCTTGATTATTAACAAAGAAAAATCAGTTGAAATAATTGAATATGAATAAAAATAAGTAATGTGCAGATTTATATCAAAGACTTGCAAATTTTATTAGAGATGTGTAAAACCAAGAAGTTGACATACAAAATCTATTGCAAAAGATAATTCTCTCATCATCTTATATTGGATCTTTAAAGAATATGTGAACATTACTTGATACTTTCAACATCTAAATATATTTATAATCATAATTGCAAATCCTTTGTTGCCAAAAATATCAACTGCATTCTTTTAGGACAAAGACCTAAAGATTGTGCCAACTTTATATCAAGAATATTCGAACTCAAGCATTGCACATTAATTGATGGATATGTTATTTTGTGTGTTCCTTCATTTGAAATTGCACCACAATTTTAAAGTAGTAGACAGATTGTACTCTCTATGTTTAAATTTTGTTCAAATTCTATGAAGATTTGTTTTACAATTTTGCAAATTACTTACCATATCAGATGTATTAAAAAAATGATTATTATCATCTAAGATGAGATATCAATTCAACATTACCATTGCATTGAGGCAACTAATAAAATTTTCTAAAACACAATTAAAATTGACAAGATATTTGATAAAATAATTATAGACTTTGGTAGAGATTTTCAATATATTCCTCATGTTGTTGTTAAAGGCTTTCAAAAAGAGACTATTGATGCTTTTTTGCAAAAATCAAAGATTTGGGCTTATATTAAAATATATAAGTTGACCAAAAATATGTATTTGAAAGGTAAATTTGATGAAAATCAATTATTTTTTAGAAAGCTCTTAAAAATATGCATTATACATGTTTTTATTTTTAAGATTTTTTTTAATATTATAATGTTTATATTTAATATATCTTAGAAAGATTTTATTAGTAGATCGAAAATAGATAAACAATTGTAGATCCACTAAAAAGTATAGTGATTCTTCCAAAACATATGAAAGTAGGTTCAATATCAAATGATTTGATTTAAACTATCTATTTGGGACTAAATAAAGATGGGATATTTAAAAATGGATATTTCATTGACATATCAATTTTATTTGCATAAAATTATGATGTCAATGATCTAAACTTGTATATTATAGAGATATTTTAAAGTTTTACATGTTTATTTTAATATAGATATAGCAATTATAGGAGATGGTGCTATCAATGATAATTTTTATTTGGTCAAGTATTTAAATAGATTTAATTCCACTTGGATTGTCACCATTTAATTTGGAGCTAAAAGTTGGATATTCAATTATGTTATTACAAAAAATTGCTTTATATTAAAGACTTTGTAATGGATCACACTTGGTTATTATGCAATTGGCTGATTGGATTATGGATAAAGACTATTATTTGAGGGCTACAAGAAATAGTTGGTTTTTCTTCCAAAGATCATATTATGTCTATTATTTGCAAAGATTCCATTTAAGTTGTAGCAAAGGCAGTTTTTAATAAATATAGCATTGGCAATGATCATTAACAAATTTCAAAGATAATAATTAAAGAATGTAGGAATAGATCTTAGAACTCTCATATTTGCATATAAATAGTTGTATTTTATCCTTTCACAATGCATTTTTAAAAATATAATCAAGATCTTTTATCCTAAAAATAATGAAGGCAAAAGCACTATTATAAATATAATTTATCTCTTCTTCTTTTATTTTATTTTTTTATTTTATTTTTTTGTGATCAACATTTCTTCAGGAGTTGTTAATTTACAACCGAGAAACTACAAATTAAAATTTTATAACTTATCTATATTCAATGCCACATATTTCCACTAGTATGCAATATAGCTTTATTTATTTTTTATTGTTTGATGAACGAGTCATATTTGAATCTTGTTTTAATCAATAAAAGGCCATTGCATGCCTCTTTAAATGCAATAGGAACATGTCTAAATTCTTTTGTAATTCAAGATATATTAAAAATCAATACAACTCTTAGAAAGACCCTTATCATTTATATATGGTTTTCTACATAATTACGTTGGCTAATTAAAATAATTTCTAAATAAATATTTATCATAACCATGGATTGTTTTTGAACCATATAAATGTCAAGGTGTAATCCACAACAACGACAACAACAAGGAAGTTCATTTGCAACAGAATCAAACAACTCAAACACCACACTGCCCCCAAAACCATGTTGCAACATTACACATAAAACTTGACATGTTTAATGTTGCAACCAACAACAAAACAACATCCATTCTATTACTTTTTTAACTGATACACAAAGTTCCCCATCGCATAGTAAAACTGTTAAATGCAAATTCATTACAACCATTTATACTGTGAGCAGTCAAACTAGGCTTTTATAATAACAAAAACCCCAACACCAACACTGCAAAAGTGGAAACAAATGCAGTGAAAATTGTACGTCAGTGTCGAAACGATTGGATCAGAAAACGGCGATCGACGCCAGATTTTAACGCCAGGTGTTAGAGCTAGAATAACGTTAGATGCGATGCGATGAATGTGAGGGATGCGATGGATCCGTGTCGGAGTTCCGGAGGGATCGGCGAAGCAGGATCGCGTGGCGGAGTGTGTCGGAGTGTGGGCTTTGCGAGTGCAGCAGCGCAGAAGAAGCTGTTTTCTAGGTGAGAGCACATGCTAGATTCGTGCACCAGCGTGCTTGCGGTTGCGGATCGCCCTGCTGGGCCATAGAGCACCAGTGCGTGATCGTCTCTGCATGCGGTGTGCGCATGCGCCTCCTCGATGGCTCAATGGGTGCTGTTGCTGCTGCTTCACAACCCAACCTTGGCTACGTCACTGTGGACCTGGTGACGTGCTGCGGTGCGTGATTCACTCGCTTTCCTTTGTGTCTCCACCTGAAGCCTGTGCGCCGCATTTGACGCGTTCCGTTACGTGAATCGGAATGTGAGTATCACTGTGATGTAGGTTCCGATCGAGCTGAATGCCTGGCCGTGGATGTACAGACCTCTGAGGCTATTTGGGGTCGCAACGCAGACCAGACTTGGGTTGTCTTGCAGGAAGACGAGATTCTTTCAAAGGTCGTCGCCACAGCTTCTAAGTAACCTCTGCATAGCAGCCTTGTGCTGCATAGCAAACTTTTTTCCACTCATCGACGTACTTACTCGGATCCTGTTCGGGGGGATAAAAGTTTCTCTTACTTTGTAGAACCGAGGAAATGACTCTCGGTACTTGATATCTATTCATTTGTGGAAATGGGGAAAAAGAAATTATCGCACTGCAGCGAAAAATCTATTGTTATGCTCGAAAGTGACGTTGTAGATGCATGAAGCATTTCACCCAAGGGCGACGAGGGAATATTTCTTGAACGTGGAGAGTGAACATGGGGTCATCCATGCTGGTATTAAACCCATGATATCTATAGTTGGTCTGGATTGTAAGCGCTTTTCCTTGCCGCCAAATGTTAGAGGCGAGCTCAGTGAAGAGTATTTATTAGCCCCTTGGCCTCAACAAGGTCCAGCAGAACATCCCACACAATTCCATCCACCTTCTCCAAGTTGCCTTGTGACGTCAGGTACGATATTCCACCGCTCCTTTTCAGCTTAGCAGATGTCAAGGTAAGGAAGCGTACGATTGCATTTGAGGTTTTCTGAAACGAGACCTAGTAGGTAGGGTTTAACGTTTTTTCTTATATAATTTCGATTGATGAACGAAGCGCTGAGGGCAGCCGTGAAGATTCTTCTCCGGTGATCAGAAGAAGCATTAGTGACTGAGTGTTACTAGCTCAGGACCGAACATTGATTTTTCTCATGGCAATCCAAACACTAACAGTTTCAAGCAACATGTAGTCGTGGGTTTTCAAACATCAATATCTTCTAGTTAGAAATTTGTGTTTGCTAGAATTGCCACAAAGCTACTGCGATGTAATGTTAGGATACCAAGTGAATCCGTCCAAACACAGCACTTGACGACAAATTTGGTCACGCAAATCCGACAGTTGTGAGCTAGTTTCAACAATAATCAATTTGAATGCCGACTCGGAACGACGTCAAGATTGTTAAATCAAGTGTGGCTCATGTCATCTGATACTAACAGAACTAGCTCTTTCTCATGGGCAGAAGCTCCTGCAAGATGGCAATTCCTATAGCTCTCGTCACCGTGACCACTTTGGCTGCAATGATCCTCACACAGGCATCTGACCCTGAGCTCACCACCGATTACTACGTCAACAGCACTACCGACAAGACCACTGTCACCAGTGATTACTTCACCTCCGAGGTATTTCGGGGAGGTATTACCATCCCAGAAGGTGCTACGGTGTTCACGAAGAGGATAACTTCGGAGCCTGACAGCCTTCCTTCGCTCACTGGCCTGGGAGTGTCGGTTGCTATGATCAAGTACCTGCCCGGCGGCACCAACCCCCACCACACGCACCCCAGAGGCACCGAGGTTCTGTACGTGATGGAAGGGAAGCTCACTGTGGGGCTGGTGGACACCACCAACAAGCTCTTCACCCAGGTGCTTAGCGTCGGCGATGTGTTCGTGTTTCCCAAGGGACTGGTGCACTACCAGATCAACCTGGGCAGTAAGCCTGTGGTGGCTTACATCTCCTTCAGCAGCTCTAATCCTGGCACTGTGTCACTTCCAGCGACCTTGTTCGGCAGCGGCATCCCCGACAAAGTGCACAAGGTCGCATTCAAGGTGGATGGACATGTGGTGGACAAGCTACAAGAGCCATTCAACATGTAGGTCGGGTGTTCATGACACTAGGAAGATATTTCTTTATGGACTGGAGCATATCCTAGACTGGTTGAGATAATTACAGAAATAAACTGAAATCTCTATCAGCCCACTATGGAGGTCTCCATTCTGGGTTTGAACTCTTGCTGTGCTGAGTGGACGATTGTCACTCATTTGATTTCGAGCATCGCACTTTCAACTGTCAACTGTAGGATTCGTCTTGATATCGACGATGAAGTAGGTCTTGTTTTAGTCGATGCTTGCAGTTGAACCCACATTCTCTGTTAATGTGGTTGTGGACAAAGTTGAGAAAACGTCCATCGATGAAGGAGTTTGTATTCAGAAGAGCCCTATCCACACTCATTTTCTCTTTCACTCATCGCCGCTTTCTTCTTTTCAAAAGGAAATAAGTTCCTGTTGCATCACTCTGCAACACAATCACAACGGCAACCCAAAAAACTTAAATCGGTAAAACAACGTTGACAGTAAATAACTGAAATCAACAGTCATTTCCTCAAACTTGAAAAAATGTGAAAAAGAATCTGTTCTGTTATGAAGTGCACACAATCCCTTGCAAGCTGCCTGCAATGAATAATGGATAAAGTACTACCCATTTTAATCAATTCAAATACCAAAGGGAAATAAGAAGCATTGAAATGCGATCACTTCAAACCTTGAATTCATGTACTCAACAGAGCATACAGGTGAGAAATGAACGAACTAGGCTCAAAATTCCACCTTCACATGGATGGAATGAAGATATTTATCCATTCACGTAGGCCAAATCTCGTGTTGGGTCAGTGTGGACGCAGAATGGACTACCGACACTTGTGCGTGACTGATGCTAGACTGCCTGCGTTTCGGAGTATTTCGAAAGCGTCGCCGCGCTGCGACACGCGGCATCGCGCAGTTGTTTCCACATCCCCGCCTCAAGGCCCACCTGATTCGGTTCATCATTGCCAATTACAAGGCCCGGAACAGTTTGAACTACTGTCAGCAAGACCAGCCTCGAAAAATCCCGTCCAGTAACGGCGAAACGAGGATCAGAGAAACGCTGATGCCCTCATTAGAAAGGGTCACTGATTGAACCTTGGTCGTGATTCTCCTCATGTTGAAGGTTGCACACCTTGATCATGCGCCAGGAAAGCGCGCCATGGAACCTGGTTGCTTGATGCGAAGCAAGCTCACTTCATCTAGTGACCCCTGCTGGAATAGATCACAATTTGAGAGTCCGGTCTGCCGCCACAAGCAGTAAGACAATCGAAGCTTCATCTGCCTATACCAATGACACTTTGTGTGAGGTGCAACGATGTTTGAGCAATCTGTCGGATTCAGAGGGCTCTTTCAGCGCATCAGGGAACTTGTTTTAGAATCCAATTCAGGAGGCTAGTTTCTACTCACTGTAAGAAGACACGAAAGATCTGTGTTTGGACGCGTGCAATGCGAACCTCGATGACCCCTCACCTCCAGTGTCTACATTCTTTCCGCATCGGGTATTCATCTCATTCCCTAAAATATGAGATTTTGCCGTGTACATTTTTCGATTGAATCGTTAAGAGCTGTGGGTGCGCGATACTGGAGATTAATTGATAACTGATTCCGTGGTCAGTTCGATGCTTTCGAGGACCCCCTTGTCTTTGAAGGTTCTTTGCATTCAAACCACTACAAAGACGAAAAAGGTTCAAGAGGTAAAGAGTAGAGCGAGTAATGGTATATTTGCTATACTTTTCGATTGGCAACAAAGCACTGAGTCCAACTGGACCTTCAAAGTTAGGCGGTAAATGAAGCAACCACGTAGATATTCTTAATTCACGAGAGCAAAATTTGAAAGGGTCGCTTCTAAAACGGGCTTTGATCCATAGTTTATTACTCTGACTCGCTGTCTAATCCATTGTCACATTTGTGAACTGATTTACCCAACATTCTATGGTTGTGTAAATCCCTAGTGTTCAATACTTTTCTGCTTATGGGCATGAATTGAGTACCCTTGGTGGCGTTTGACTGATACTCCAATGACATAATGTCCCTAGAGCAGTCAGACTTTGATTATCTATCAAGAGCAGTGTAAAACACTTGGTTTTTCCACATCAAAATAGAAAACATTATGGCAGCACATCATTCTTCTAGTTTGATCTTTCTTCAATCTGGTATATCTAAACATTCTCACTTATTGCCTTAGCAGCACTGCCCCTGAAACTTTGAGGAAGAATCCATGCAAATGCAACACGCTTCATTAAAAGTACCCAGACTTTCTGTGGCTCAGAAGCCAATTTTACATGCTAAAGTACTGATATACAATGTTGACAGAGTATCATACAAATATATCAAACAAGAACAGATCTCGGCGTCTAATCCTCTACTCTCCAGGTGTTGATAGTACAAAACCTGAATATCGTAGAGAACCATCATGTGCAGAAAAGTCTGCTATCTCACCAACCTATGTGAGGCTATTCAAAGACATTAACCTACTGATAAAATTTCCGCAAATTTGCAAACCTTCAACCTGCCACAAGCACAATGACGCTCAATATCGTTCACACAGTCAAATGGCTACATCTGTTCAACTTCGATATATTGTTGACTCCACAATTAATCACTCTAATTAGTTGATCCTTCATATTGGCAACTGCACATGATCTATTGATTTGTACAGACGTCACGACATGAAAGCAACACAGTGCTCTTGATTATCCATTTGCAGCAGAGCTGTTTATCCTACAGGAAAAGGATGTTCAATGACAGGAGCTTCGAAGGTATCGCAACAACAAATCTTGCCGACCGATCGATATTATGACCCGCCTTTAATTTGTTTGCAAACGTTTCAGTCGAGGTTTGATGATCAATTTCTGTTGCCTATATTGTGAGTATTGTTCAGCATTAGGGTTTGAAGAATACATTTGGATTTAAATTCCCTGTCACAAGGTGCACTGATTCATTAGTATGTCCAATCTCAAATAACATCCATGTGAAATATTAGACAGTTTCAAAGTTGAAAGAATTTGTTCACTGCAAGACTCTAGCTGGTACTATTGCAGATTCTAAAGCGAACGGGGTTAATCTACTATCTTCGTGAAAATCTCTTCAACAAGAATCTGCAGGACTTCCTTGCATATCGCTCCGCGTACAATTTGAGCCTTGTAAACCTGCTTAAATTAGAAGCGACTCTCAGAAGACCTAGACCTTTCTCTAAATTTTCGTTCTTTTATCTTTGTCTCAAATGGAAGGCAAATGAAGGTTGCTGTGGAAATCCTTGCAGGTGGATTGTAACAAAAGAAATTTCACGAATAGTGCATACATTCACGATCCAAACTCGACACAGGAGGGAGAAACTCACAGGGTCCTCAACCTTGAAGAACTCCAGAGGCGCGCGATCCACGCTTCCTCTCACACGTCGTATCTATTGTTAACACTTGCAGAGTGCTTCACAATAATCAGCATGATCAAGACACCTTGTGCACGTTTAACAACTGTACCCCTCTCACGATGCAAAGAAGGCGGGTACATGGATTTGCTAGGACGTGTTTACGCGTCTAATTGAACCAACTTGACACCACTTCAAGCAGCCCAGCAGGAACCCAATTCCGAGTTCCTTCCAATCCACAAGTTTATGCAAAGCTGAAGAAGTAAAATCCTAGAATCTCTGTAGTACTTGCTCCTCTGCAATTCTTAGCTCTTCCACTATCGTCTCTACAAGCGAGAAACCCCCAGAGGACAATCCTTCCGCTTAGTTCCTCGCCTTTACGTGGTCTCTATGCATTCCAATAAATAACACGATTTATCAATATGGATGTTAATTGAGAAACGCGGAGACACTTTCATGTAGTCAGGGTGTGAGGTACTTCGCCCCTGTGGACAAAGGTTTGGATAAACGCAGAAAACCCTCCAAAAAATTACTATTCACAATCGGAGGAGCGGGACTTGGACTGCCCCACTCCGCATGCCAAGTGGATGTTTGCATGGAACCTCCTCGTAGAGCCATCTGTTCACCACTTTCATGTTTCTGCTCATTTTCGGGTCTGATTAGGTTTTGAAATTTAAGTTTTGTGACCTTAAATCTAAGCGCAAGACGATCCTGTCAGCCCGTTGAGATCCTGCAGAGCTTAAGGATCGACTTCGGAGTGGCTTCGACACTCAGGGGAGAGAATTTGCGGGGAGCTTTTCGCATACTTCAGGTACTCGAGGAATTGCCAGGATTCCGAAGCTGTTTAGCCCTGCACCTGAACGATAATCCTGTTTCGTCAACGTTAGGGGGCTGCCTGTGTAGAATTGCTCCTCAGAGTTCATTTCAGAAGGTGGGATTCGCACTTGGTGTGATGTCTTCCTTACAATTCTGCATCTGGTTTCCGGCTCTTGCTGATTTTGTTACTTTCGTGTAACGACTTGTTTCTTGATCTTTAGCTTGAGAGCGATCATCGCGACACAGACCTTAGTACCTGTGCTCAAGGATGAGTGGACTAGGCTTTAGATTGTTGAATGCCCTAGAGTTGGGTTATGCTAGGTCGTGAATTATGTGTTCTTAATGTGTGTAGTTTTATCGTATGAACATTGCGAGGCTGCATGTTTGGGAGTACTTCTTCACCTTTGGGGCTTCATATATGTCATATTCACGTGAGATGTAGGAAGGGTGTACTCAGTGTTCGTGTCATTTGTTGCCAGGGTTGCGGATTCCCATTTTAACACAAACGTCAAACGTTGGAGGCAATAGGCAGAGTGTCCCTGTCGGGGAGAAATGGGTCGTAACTGATCACTTTGTCTTGCAGCAATACGATTAGGGTGTCGGAAATTGTTGGCTCAGAGGTCTATGAGTTAGAACAAAGAACTAGGATGGAATGGTGTTGATGTCCCGTAGAAGGCCATGATTCTGTTCACTTTAGTCACTCGTTTGTTCAAGGGCTACTGTTCGCTTCTGTTCCGTTTCTTAGTTGAAGCTGTACGAGAATCACCGATTGACCCGCGTGTCCGACATCTCATCCTGAGAAGACTCTTGCATAGTCCTCTGGAATTGCCGGCTGAATATGAGTACGTTCTTCAAACTAATCAAATTTGTTGAGCGCCGTAGCCATTCCGCAGTGTCTGGATGAAGAAGATAGATTATTGTGCTTTCACTGATTCCACGTCTACAAATCCGCAGGTCTGAATAGCGCAGAGTTGGGTGGCCAAGCCAATCAAGGGCTGTCCCAGCAAGCTCTGCAAGAACCATCGTACGGTTCAAATGTTTACGTCACTGAGCAGGAACAGGTCAGGCTCCATTTCAACTCTACGCTCGAATTTGTTCCAATGCCCAATTGCCTACTCATGTACAGCCTATCGTCACTGTTCCTCCTCATTCGGACAATCCTGGGTTTTTTTCTGCTCATACTGATACATGGCTAAATTGCCTGATTTAGACAAAGCTCGTACCTGCAGAAGCACTGGAAGTGCAACAAGAAGCTTAGGAGGCCATCAAGCGGGTGTACATTAAGCTTATGTCTGCTAAGGAGAAAACAGATCTAGCATCTGAACAGGCATATTTTTGAGTTCATGTTGCAGCCCAGTATTTTACAAAAGTTGCTACAAGATAATTCTGGAAAGAGATTAATGGTAGCTCAAATCTCGTCAAATGGCTGGCTTCAGGTCATGGCTGAGCAGGAAATGGACAAAAGAGTTGCGATGCAAGCAGCTGTAGAGGCTACTGAGAAGGTTACAAGTGAAAAGAAAGAAAGAGCATGGAGCGCGTTGCACTATGCATTGGAGGCCAAGCGGGTAATGTAGGAACACATGAACACACGAACTTCATTTTGTCGTCGAGAAGCTAATTTTGATATTTGCAGCATTTGGATTTCCAATTTAAGTTAGGAACCAGCCGGCTAAGTCTCAAGTCCCTAATCAATTTGCATTAATACCAGACTGTTTAACAAAATACTGTACATGTGTTTTCACAACTATTTCAGATTCCTCAGAGGGTGTTCCTTCATGTACAGACAGCTCATCTAGACACATGGGTCAATGGAACGTGAAGCTTCCAACCTTCCGATGTAATCGGCGATATTTGTTAGTAGCGTTTCTGATAATAAATGAAATTGTCTCAGTGGAAGTTGTGTGATAATTTTATTGTTGTCTCAATCATTAGGTCGAAGCTTTCTCCGATAATAGCACGTATTTGGGATTATCTCGTTCCAACGTTGAAGTCCCAGTTTCATAAATCATCATTTTATTTCCAGAATCAATCCTGAGGAAATGATCGACCAAGTTATCTGTGCCCATTTAATGAAACTACCTAAACATGCATGTTTGTTGAATGACTAACCTTGTTCATTACGTGAATCCCAGGATACATAGACAACATTGAAAAAATAACACCAAAATAAACTGTACAACTGGAGAGAAAATTTGTATCACGTGAGCCTTATTCACTTGTATTATCGATAATGAACCAAGACAAAGATTCATTCATCCTACAAATACATCTACAAAAACATCAATCAGAAATTTAGAGACAAACGAGAGACTCTTTCACCATAACCAGGCAGAACACAAACCAGCATCTGTAATTATCAGTTAGGGGAGTCATGTTTGCATTTAGGAATTCACTTGGTACCTTACACAAGCGGTCCAAGAATGTATTCTCCTGACATACTCAAAGCTTAATAAGTTTGAAAGAAGTACAAGTGTGCGATCTATCAAGCACACAATATGGAATAATTAAATTTACAGAGGTATAATGTTTACCGTCAATTGTTGATTACACAAAGAATATTTTGCACAAAATAAAAGCCAAAACTTACCAGACGTACTAATTTAGTCGGCATTGGTAGTAACCATGGTAAATACATTATCCAGCTTGATTATTTGGATTAGTTGTGATTTACAAATTGTTGCAAAAAGTATAGAATTTTAGTTAAATGAAGGGGAATAATACATGGAAAATAATACTTGAAAGCTGTTTACTGCATTGTATTTCTGTCAATGCTCCTTTCGGCAATTACCAATGAACTACACCTTGCATTGCTTTCTTCTAAGCTAACAATTCATATATACAAATAGTTCTTAAAAACATAGAAAAGTATAAATACACCTTTACATTGCTGTTGATAAGATTTATCAAAAAATAAAAATAAAATAAAATAAAAACATTTACAGCGTGTTTGATTAACTTATGAGTTAATAAAACCTTCTTATTGACAAAATATTTCAAATGCTGACTTGAATTGCCAGTGTCCACAACACTCCTTAAAAAAAAAGTGCATAACACTACACCAAATTCAAATCACAAGTTCTGTTCCTATGATTTACCCTTTTTTTTTCAATTATTTGATTTTCAACCTATATATTAAAAAACAAAAAATAAAACAAACAAACAAACAGATACAAGACTCTTCTCAAAAAATCTAGATGAATATGTTTCAAACAGAAAGTCTAAGGAACATTGTCACAACAATCTGAAGAACATTATACGTAACTTCAACATCGTCACTACAAAACCTCTGTAGGAAGCATCTGTTGCATCAATTCACTACATTACTGACAGGTATGCAAAACATTACGAATATTACCGAAAATTTTAAGACGCTAAACTCAATGTTTAGTCACCAGTACTGTACAGTTGGGTGTGGGTCCAAACCCCACTGGTGACTTACATATCTCCGTTTTTTCTTCAAATATGTTCACACTCTTACATGAAGGAGAAATGAAATCAAAAGAACATCTCAACTGAAACGGAACAATTCGACTCCGCAAAATACGTTGTACCACACCGCCATTGCCACTAGGAAACTCTTTGTTTCATTGGCAGCACCTACTTATGATCGAATGAATCTGTCACTCTACCTTGCTCAACGTCGTAAGAAGTTTTGTCATAAGAAGAATTGTCGAAAGAAGAATTCTCGGGAGGAGCTGATACTGACCGCTTGGATTTAATTTGAGTGGCACGGGGAACAGAGCCAACAGGAATGTAGTCATAAGTGGAGTGAGCTACAAAACCATAAAACTATGTGAGTACTGTTTGAAAACAGTTTGCGGCACAGAAAAATGCTCCAAAGCCTCTGGCATTTGAACGGCCAATTATGCAAACGTAGAAAAGTCTAAATTATCTTAAGTTAAAACTTTTATGGACATGGACCAAACCAACCACTAAAACCAATAAAGATAGAGATTTACATGCAATATTCAAGCAACACCTCAAATGTCTGTCGATAAACCCAAGTTGTCTAGACCCTCACACTAATGTGAGCTATCCCTGTAGCAGCAACAAACAAGCTAGAGAGAGCATGAGAGAAGCTTACGTAAATCATCGAATAAGCTTCGGAAGTGTTGGCGATAGCAGAAGTAAGCCGTCAAAGTTCCTGCAGGAAAATATAAGCAAGAGGTGAGAAAAGAGAGCATTTCAAAGCATACAACTCCTGGTTGTCCACTATTCGTGGGTGGGGTACCAAACCGTGTCCACGTCACATAGATGAGTTACTAAACCTCAAAGTAAAAAAATAAAAAATAAAAAATAAAAAACTGTTGTCTCTCTTCAAAATATGAGTAACCATTGCCACTTACAAAACCCTAATCTCGTAGGAGGAGGATGTGCACAGAGCTCAACTGCTAATTTCATGGAATAGGTAAGGAATGCATGAAAGATCGTTGCAATCATCGTAAACACGGATCTAAAACAATGTCACCTCGTCTTCTTGGATAAACCGACTTGGGGGACGGACCATTTGAGATTAGAAAACCACTATGTGACCTACGATAAATTAAAATTAAGGGTTAATATGGGCCAGTAATGAGTTCATGAATGGCTGAAGGCACCTACCAATGGAGGCACCAGTGCAAACATCAGTCCAATGGTGCCAGTAGTCATCAATTCGGGTAACGCCAACAAAAGTGGCGCAGAGCATTACCACAATTATGGGTAAAACCTTCCATGAGTGACCCTTCCGGTCGAAGATACTGAGCTTACCGGCCATGTACATTGCCAGGTAACTCAGACCAGCAAAAGTCCCTGCAACAGGATATAAATTGTCAGATGTATGAAGCAGTGACATATCTAAAACTTCTATACCAAGGTAGGAAGTTCAGAAGTGCGTCAAATGTATCCACCTCAACACACAATTACGAGCACCACCAAGGTTACTTCACTAAAACAACCACAGTCAGTGAGGAGTGATTACATGAGGTATGTCCGCTTGGAAAACTCTTGTATGCTTCCTTCATTTCTTTAGCAGTTGCAACACAGATGACGTTCCCGGTTACTGGATCGTAATTCTGCAATCAATTCACGAGAGGCATTAGAATATAACAAGGTACCCAAAAATTAAATGAAAAACCTTCCAGAAGCATCTTGTGGTTAGTAGATTGATGAGCGATTGTGTAGAACAAGCCCGAGTTAGTAGAAGCAGATATTAGTGTTCTTGTCTTTCTCTGAATCTGGTGGATCCAAATTGTCTGCTAATGATGGGTTAGAGAGATCAAGTAAAGAGTAAAAGCCAACATACAGGTTGGGCGAGAGTGCCCCCAAAGCATCGAGCATAAAAGTGAGGACGAGGTCGTCCGATCCCAACTTTCACGGCATCTGTTATCAGTGCTGTGAGCGCAACAGCGGTTAACAGACCTACAGCCAAAAGAGCAAAAGGAAAAAAAAATATTTAAAATGTCATTCCAGCAGGCAAGTGTCCACATCCTCGCAGAAAGCGAAGGATAAGTATACTTACACAAAAAGATAGAAATTATATATTTTTTTTAAATTAATTGGGATTGAATATCAGAAGTATAGTGTTAGACATGCCAGGTCTAAGCTTAAAGAGACGAACCCAATAGAGCATGATGCAAATCTCGAAAATTCCTCCTTTTGATGAAGATTCCCACGATAACAACCAAAGGTACAAATACGGCAATCACCTGCTCAGAACACTCCGAGCTTAGAACGACTAGGTTCATTCTACTGCAAATAATATAATCCCATCCAAAGGGAAAGAAAAAAGAATAAAAGTAAACATAAAAAAGGGTGAAGAAGAGAAAGGGGGGTGAGCTATATGTATATGGAGGGAGCGATAAAGAAAACCAACATAAATCCGCGGGGAAAAAAGAGGAGATCGGCATCATTACCGGCACAGCTTGGAAAGGAATAGTGTTAGATTTAAACGGATATCTTAACTCCGGAGTTGCGAAGTTCTTTTCTCCTACATGACGTTGGAATGGAGGAACCAAAAAGCAAAGAAGCCAAAGTAGAATGACAAGCACAATCTGCAGCCAATCATTCAAGTGGTATCTAAATAATGCAGCGGGTCCCAACTCGGCAAGAATCGGAATTTCTTCCTCTATCAGATCCTCTGAATCCTTAAGTTCTTCATGATTTCTTTGTACAGCATTTGATATAGTTCTCGAAGCGCTGGTAAAAAACTTCTTCATATTTTCTGCAGCACCAAACACAAGCGTCTTCATTTGTTGGAAGGTATAACGGATGCAAGGTTGACTCTGTCCAAGATCGCAACTATATATATTAAAAATTAAAATTAGAAATTAAAAAAAAAAAATGGCTTCATTACACCTAATTATACTCAAAAGAATAGGAGAACGAGAAGAAACTCATGCATCTAGATTCAACTCGCAAATTTGCGCTCTCTTGATGTACTTCATATCAAAAGCTACCAAGATGAGAGCGGATGCCTCACAATGCTTGGTTATCAAGTAAGAGGGAGAAAACCCTAGAGACAACTTCGCATGAAACAAAATGGCCGAGACGTATCACCAGCTGCTTCAACATTCCCTACTTAACATTCGGTTCAATCCATGATTGCAAGTTTCATATCCTCACAAATGAATTCCTAAGCTCACAAGAGCCTGAGTGTCAGAATCTTAGAGGTACATAAGTACAGCTCATGCCACAATCACTAACCTTGTGCACGGGAGGTAGATGAAAGCCTTCTGGTGAGAGGAGGGGCCATCGGTGAGTCATCACTTTCAGGAGAGTCGTCCATTATTATCTCCCCTATCTCGGACGTATCGGTTAATCTGGGAGCATCAACATGATCCATTTTAGATCTCACAAGTAATGTATTGCTCTGTACACACGATAGGCAGCGAAAGAAAGTGGTAAACTGATCCCGACGATCTTATGAGGAAGAATTGGAATGTACAAGCATCCCTAAAGCTCTGTAACATAATTTCAATCGCTTACTCTATAACTTGGTTCCTCATTGCAATCTGTTAGCGACTAAAAATATATTTAAAAAAAAAAAAAAAAACACAAAAACACAAAAAAAAAACACAAAACAAAACATAAACACGTTGAAGATGCGGTAGAGAGACTGAAGGACACACAGCACAGCCTAAGTAGAGGATCGACAATTTATTGTCAGGAGCATAGACATGGATCCCTGGCCCAAAAACCAAACTTTAAACAGGAATCAAACGAAGAGAGAAGCCAGAGAAGTGAGATAATGACTATGTCGGAGGAAAGCATAGAGAAGGAAGAAGTAAAAACAAGGAAACTCGTGGCGCTTCTAGTCGACAGTACAGGAAGAAACTCAGCACTCGCTACCAAATTCCACGAAGACAGACAGAAATGGGAGGGTCTACACTAGAAACTGGTCACATATTGTTCAACTTCGGCGACCTGGGTGTCAACGCTAGCTAATCAAAGAAACCGCGTCTGGTCAAACCAAAGCGATCGAAACGAGATTTCCGCACTCCCACCCCAACGCCAAACCAGCTCGAGAGGAAACCAGGGAGAAAAGATTAGTTGCATACCTCGTTGAAGAAGTCCTCTCCTTCCAAGGCTTCCTGCACCCAGCTGAAGCGGTGATCCCATTCCTCGGCTCCACCCCACTTGCCCAATTAATCTCCATCTACCTTGTCCGATTCCACAGCCCTAATCAGGAGGATCTCTCGAAACCCGCTCAGGTGTGTTGTCCTGTGTTTCCGGGCCGAATCTCCGACTGAGCTATGATGCCCTGCTGCTGCAAGGTTCTCCGGTTCGACGAAAGTACAGCTCAGTAACAACAACAACACTGTAGCAGATGAGCCCCATTGGAAAGCAAACAGCTGCGCCCTAATCTCGTCTTCTCACACGGGAAATTAATGCAAAACAAAATGAGCAACAGAAAGAGAGTGTGGGGTTTCGGCAGCCACGAGTCCGCCGTCGTCGACCCAACAACTCTGAGCTCTGACTTGTAGCCCTTCTTCATGGATGGATGATAGATGACTCTCGTCAATGTTACCTCGCCTCCGTCCATCCAGTGCTCGTCACTCATATGAGGATGAATATATATATATATATATATATATATCGGGAATTGTTAAGATGTTATATATATATATATATATATAGATGTAGGGAATTGTTACATCGACATGCCCCTGAAATGAAACAATAAGATCTGACAGAGACGAAGTTGAAGCTGCTCAGCAACATTACAAGCTCCTTCAGACCTGGTGTGCTGACAGCTTTCGTGGGTGTGAGTGGAGCCGTGAAGACGACTCTCATGGACGTCTTGGCAGGGAAAGAAAAACAGGTGGATCCGTAGAAGGCGACATTAGAATCTCTGGGTATCCCAAAGTGCAGGAAACATTTGCCAGGATTTCGGGATGCTGCGAGCAGAATGACATCCGTTCCCCTCAACTCGACGTGCGCGAGTTGCTTGGGTATGCTTGGCTTCGTCTAGATCCCGACATCTCCAATGAAGACAAGCTGAAATTTGTGGACCAAGTGATGGAGCTTATGGAGCTGAGCCTTGTCGAGCATGCATTGGTGGGGTTGCCTGGAACTTCCAGGTTGTCGACAGAGCAAAGGAAACATCAGACCATTGCGGCGGAGTTGGTGGTAAACCCCTCCATCATCTTCATGGATGAGCCTACCAGGGGTCTCGACGCTCGATCCGCTGCATTGTGATGCGTACTGTGCGTACCACGGTGGACACGGGGAGGACTGATGTGTGGACCATTCATCAACCCAGCATTGACTTCTTCGAAGCTTTTGATGAGTTGCTTCTTCTGAAGCGTGGAGGACGGGTGATTTATAACGGGCCATTGGGACACAATTCTGAGAGGATTATCGAATACTTCTAGGTATGACAAGGGATTGAATCTCTCTTTCATGATCGAGATACACGCTTAGTTAATACTTCGGTTTCACTTGTTTATACATATGGTAATGTAGCATTAAGGTGCACGGGGATGATACTAAGTTTGGTCGTGCGGTACTTGATAGGCTATCCCTGGAGTTACCAAAATCAAAGAAGGGTACAACCCAGCTACATGGATGCTGGAAGTGACAAACAACAGAATTGAGGATCAACTTGGAGTGAACTTCGCGGAGCTTAGCTTGGCATCGGACCTTTACAAATTTGTATTCTTCCAGACATGTTCAGCCACTGTTTCTAATAATCAAAGCGTGTTTTCTATATATATATATATATATATATACATATAAAGCATGTTTTACATGTGTTTTACATGCTGCTCAATGTTTTCAATGTGTTTTTGATGTTTTCTTTCTGTTGGGTTTTATTTTCAAGTTAGATTTCTTCTTCTTCTTCTTCTTCTTCTTCTACAAAAGTTTTGTTGCCTTTACTTATTTGTTGTATCTTAAGTTTGTGTGGATGAGGTTCTACAATAAACATTGTTGTATGTATTTTTTTTTAGAGATTTTTATTTTTTTATTTTTGTTACCAATTAAAAAGAAAAAAGGTAGCCAATTATCTAATGCCACAATTAATAGTCAAAAATTGGTTTTGAAATCGGATAAATCAATCTTTGCACAAGAAATATGTTGGTATCCATGGATTTATTTCTTTGTACTACATTCTGAAAACATTGAAATTTGATTCTTTTGATGCAATTGATAAATGGTGTGTTTTCTCTTTTTTTTTTTAATTATATTGGATTGAAGTTATACAGGAGCTTTCTTTACTTTGATAATTTTTTGTATGTTTAAGGAATTTCAGATATTCTAAATACGTTTTGAATTAAATTGAAATGAATAGTCTAATTTTCAGACTAAGTTTATATTTTATTGAAAAATAATGTAGAAAAAAATTAAAAGAAAAAGAAAAATCCAAATTTTTGGTACATACTTTTGAAATAAAATAATTTTCAATAAAATAACGTGAAATTCTAAGTTTGTTTTAATAAATAAATTAATAATTACTTGCAAATCTACAGTACGATTCTCTAAAATTCACAGCAATGGTTTACTTGGTAAAGATTAATTTAAAGTCAAACTTCCATAAGACAACTAGTTTATTGATAATTTCATATTTTTAATTTATTCATTTAAAGTTACTATTTTAAAAATACATATTAAAAATGAAAATCACCTAAAACAGATTTTTAAAAATTAAATTAGCATAAATAATAATGCTTAATTATTGATCAGTCAAATAGAAATGTTAGTGTTAAAATTTTCATTTGTTTAAATTTGTACCAATTTTACATACCAACTTCATTTGAAAGTCATATACATGTTAAAATTAATATAAAATAATTTACTACCGTATAGGATCACTCCAAAATTTACAGAATATCCAACACAAGCTTTGAATAACATGTAAATGCATGATCTTTCAATATTAATTTTCATAAAATGGTTTCATTTGCTAACAAAAACTCTATTAATTATAACAACTTGATCCAGTAGGACCACAACCCAATAACCAACTTCATTATCTTTGCAAACATCAGAGAAAAATACAAATGGTCATCTGTAAACAAACAAGTTTGTATATTTACAATTGTTATTGCCTTTTTTAATATTATGACTACAAGAATGAGAAAAACGAAGAACAATAAACCTCAAGTTGGATTAAATAAAGTCTTCAGATGAATTTGATTGTTGAAATGGATAATTCAGAAAAGAATTATATCAAATCCTCTGCTTGAAAAATAAATTTTAAACACTCTCTTATTTATGTATTTATTTATTTATATACACACATACATCTTCAAATATTTGATTTTTTTTTAAAGGTCAACACAACTGTCAAGAGTCAAGATGTTACATCCTACAAGGAAACAGCCAAAATATATATTGCAACAAATAAAATCATATTGGCTAATAATATGGACCTTTGATTTAGATTCAAGGCAGCTTTTTCAACACCTCATAACAAAATACTTTTTCTTATTAAATTTACATGAAGCAATTTTAATATTCCAATGGACTTTATTTTTTATTTATTTATTTTTTAAATGTAATGATTTTCTAAAGAACATTAAAAAAATTTACATCATATTCAAAATAAATACTAAATATACAAACAAAATCTATTTATATTATATATATATATAGTTTAGTAGAAATCCATGCCATTGGCCACAAAAAAGTTATAAAATTCTAATTTGTGATTCTTAAGTCAAAAATTAACCATTCTTAAAGAAATATTAATGAAGAAGAAATATATATATATATATATATATATATATATGCTTAAGAAGAGAACCATATATGTTTCTTCAATGTAATTGACAAACATAATTTTTATTTACTACAAATTTATATTCTCTAGCAAAAACCAATGTTGTTGGGTATTGCAATCTTTGGCACATCCATCTATTCTTTTATTTATCTATGTTTCTTTGTGCTCTTTGGTTCCCATATTCCTTCATTTCCTTGTTTGTTTACATGTTCTTCAAGTTTCTTACATTATACACACATATCTATTATATAAATCATATTGTGAGATAATCAATTATATTTTATTTTCATAGAAAAATAGTCAAAATTTTCCTTCTCAAATTATAAATTCCATTTATATCTTCTTATACCATTAAAATGTCCTCTTTGCACAATATGAATATCCAAAAAAATTGTCTTATAATACAACACATTTTAACCATAATAGGAGATATTGACCATGATTATATATCATGTATAAGCTTCAAGATGCTTTTGAGTGGTGTTTGTAACTTGAAATTACTATAGAATCCAAAATAAAAAAATGAACACTTCTATATACTTTAAGAAATATGATGTATTTTCTTGAGATGTTGATTACTTATTTTTCAAGTTGTGAATTAAATAAGCATGTTTAGTGCTTAAAAAAATAACCAATCAAACAAAGAATAAGTATAGGTCATATTATGTATTATTATTATTTTATTGAATTCTAAAATAAAAAATAAAATCCTAAAAACTTAAATAAATATTTTGATAGATGGGAGCAATTTTTTTTTTTTTTTTTTTTTTTTTTTTTTTTTGTAGATTAGCCTAAAACTCTAGCTCTTTTAATTTAAATTACATTAATTATATTAAAAAATTTCTCCCTTTGAATCTTGCTATGACTAAGTCAATATTTATTGGAAAGTTAGATATTTTCTTTTCTTATAATATTTGTTTAATAAAAAATATTGAATAAAAAATCTAATTAATCTTACATATATTTTCTAATTCTTTAGAATATTTGACTTCAAAGTACATTAATTGCACACATATTGTGTTTATTTTGTTTTGTATAGTTGCATATTTCTTTTCATATAAGCTATTACTACTTGCTTGTATATAATCCATATTAAATGAAATCTGGCATCTCCAATTGCTCCAATTCTTGTTCTTTATTTTCTTCTTTGATTTCTAATATCCTACATTCACTTATAAAAACACTC